AGCACAAAGGGAAAGAGAAAGAGAGAGAGAGAGAGAGAGCGTCAAGAGACGATAAAAGTGACAGGCAACAAAAACTAAACAACAACGATAAAAATCGTCATTGTCAAAACGTTTGGTGCATTTGATTTTCACAATCCAAGCACGTGTATCGCGTTCTCTCTCTCTCTGTGTGTTACTTTTCTTTTCTTTTCCAACCAAACTGACAAAATCCCCGCGTTAAAGTTTTCGAATCGTGTCCGACATGTGTAAATGTGTTTAAATACTTGGTGTGAATTGATGCTTCGAATAGTGATGCATTGGGTAAATGAAGTTACTCCGTCAAAATGTCGTTGATTCCATGCGGTGAATTCGTTTCGATTGGAACTGTTTGAAAAAATGCCACCAAGATTAAGTTTTTCAACTATTGATGCTTGGGTGTGTGTGTGGGTTTTTAGTCCTGCCCGCAATAATCATAAATAGCAAGACGAATTCGGTACAAATTGGGATCATTTTCATTTGTCTGATAAGAGTCAAGCTAATATTGCAATGGTTTGGTGACATCGGGCAAACACACACACACACACACACACACAAAAAAAACACCATACTCATATCTTCCGAAAAATCCCAGAAATGTTGGAACGAGCACTCTTTTTTGTCAGAGTAAGAGGATTGTTTTTGTAGCCTTTTGTTTGTAATCGAAATGAAAAGAGAGAGAGATAGAGAGAAGACACAAAAAGAAACACTGACGGAAAAACAGACAACACAGCACCGCATAGCACGAAAAAACTGAGAAGAAACAATGGAAGATCGTCGAAAGTGGATAACAAAGGCGAGCCACTCTCCAGCCAACAATTGAAAAAACGACGTCCCTTCAGATAATTCAGTACAGCGACAGCAAGATTCGCAGTTGAAATTTAAGATGCGAATCGAATCGATTCAGTTCTTTGTTTGCGCCGAGAGATGAATGAATGTGTTTTTGATTCTACTTGTGCCTTCGCGTTATCTACAAACCGAAACCGAGCGCATAAAAAACGCACATGAAACGCGACCACGCACACACACTCACACAACGGAACCAAGACGACAGAGGGAAAACAAGATTATATACATTTGTGGTTAATGCAAAACAAATGTCGAAACACATATATAGCACTGCTACTGATTGCAAGGGGGTCCGAACACCGAGCGATTTTTTTTCTCGTGCTCTCTGTGTTTTTACTGCAACAAATAGATTAAAGTCCAATGTCATTTCGTCAAAACGAAAATGGGGGAAGTGGTTGGTTTTGATTGTCGATGACTTTATGGATTTGCTGTCGCATCGGATTAACAGGCAGCCACTATTTTGATATATCGAATATCCAATAAATGGAAACAACATATGATAACATCAACTAATAGCCCCATCATTATTGACATCTGCGTATGTGTATGTGTATGCAATAGGCAAAATAAAAATCTTCGCTCGTTTGCGATTTGTGATCCGAATTGATGATGATGATGGTGGCGGTGGGCACCCGGGTTCAGAGTTATCATTCACTAATCAATATGACAACGGTTAAAATGATTAAAAAGTGGGCATTAATTAAAATCGTGCCCGGAAATATTGTTTATTAAAACGAGGTCGAGCATTGCGCAATCGGTTCGCTTCGTTCGCAGCGTGGATCCAAAATAGAAAATTGAAAAATAAATCCGAAATTGAAATTAGTTTAACCAGCCGGGTGTTGTGGCAATATCGCGCTCAAACGAACCATTGCGTAAACACCGTCCACTCTTTTTGTTGATAACTGTTTTTTTTTCTCGCTGGCTGTTGTTTCACATATATCCCGAGTGGGAAAGAGACTCGTCTATGAATATTGTAGCTTCGTTATAATACATATATGATTAGATAAATATGAAATGCAAACACTCATACACATCGAAAATTCAGTGAAAAAGAGGAAATGAAGATATTCGGTCGTATTTTTTTTTGTCTCTCAATATGCGGTATATTGTATTCTTGGGTGCTTTTTTCTCTTTAGCCTGTAAAATATGCTTCAGTTTGCTTTTTTTTTGCTAAGGATATATGTGTATTTTCAACAGGGTACAAAAATGGATGAAAATATGATGAACAAACAAATCTGAACGGATTCAAATAGAATACAAAATAATAACCGCTTCGAATGGATGGAAGAAGCAATGGCAACGGGCAACGGGCAATGCCAATGGCATGTATTTGCACAGTGCAGAAAACATTTTGTTGGCTCACTGCAGAAAATAAAGAGATGAAACGGATGCAAATAACATGAAAAAAAAACAGTATCATCAATTTCTCTTGTTGTCTGTGTGTTCTTCTTCTTCGTTCTAAATCCGATGCGGCCAATTGTTTGGAGCATACATCAAATGAAAGTGGTTTTTGGGCACAGAGAATGGTGAAAATCGAATTTAGTCATTTTCATCAAATGGGATCCGCGACCCGACCCGACACATGCACATCCAGACTCTCGAAATGATTCTTTAAATTCATAAACGATTACTAAAAAAAAATGCGGTGACACCATCGGTATCGGTCGAATATGGAATATGGCTCTTTAATAGATAAAGTAACATAAATAACCGGATTCATTACAACTTTGTTCGATGAGCGGGTGCACACAGTGCACGAGGCGGCATCAAAAAGCAAGATCGTACATAGTGCAAAAGTACAGTGTGAATACATGAGCTGTGAGTATGCGATGTACAAACCGAACGCATTGGAATTTTCCGTTCCGGCCGTATTCTCTATCAACACATATATTCTTTTTTTTTGCTGCCCCTTTTGCAAATTCTGTGTACATCGAACGGAGAGATTCCCATTTGAACGTAATCATTTTATATTTTTGTGTGTGTGCTGAACATTTTTTGTTTTGTTGTTGTACCGAGCTCTCTTTTCATATTTGCTGATTGTAGGCCATATTTTCTCTTTTCGGCCGCCGTTTCATCGTGACCGTCGCTTTGCTTTCACTCTCTCGTTTGTTCGCTCACTCACTTGTCGCTTTCGAATTGAATATTTCAACAGTTCACTGTACCAACTCCCGGTTGGCAGTGGTCGGCTCAAGCTGAAATGAACGCATCCTAACTGGATTTGTATGTTTGTGATTTTTCGTATTCGTTTTGACAATTTGATAAACAAATATTTACAGAATGGTAGCAAAAAAAGGGAAATAAAGTAAATCCGAAAAAATGCGAATGTACCACGGCGATTTTGACGAACGAACGAACATGCGGAATGCCTCGTTTGTTGTTTTATTTTCTTCGTTTTATTTTCGGCATTTCGTTTGTTCATTGACTCCTTTTCATGTGTCACAGACCTGCTACGCAATTCCTTTTATTTCGGTTTGTGTCAACCGTTAATGTCATTATCCCTCATTTGTTTTGGAGATCGTTTCGTTGTTTGAATTTGTTTTAAGTTTCATCTCCGGTCCGTTTTATGCCGCGTTTTTCCACCCCAAACTATCGAAATTCGGTTGCAATTCTTGGCCGTAAATCAGAATGTGTGTGTGTGTGTGAGAGAGAGAGCACGAAACGAATCGCATTTGATTGTTCAAGTCATAAATTCCATTTTTTTTTTGCCTTTGCGATTTTATGAATGATTTTTGTTTAATAAAAAATTAATATTATTTATCAATGCACTCATATCATGCATTTTAAATTGCCATTTCTCTCGATATATCTCATATGTGGAGAAGAGAGGCGAAACAAATCGTATATTTGCTATTACATTTGTTTCATCGCTGAGTATTTGAAAAATGGAAAAGTAATAACTAAAAATTATGACAGTCATCATATTTGAATGAACAAATGTAGATCATCAATGTTGGCATTTGAATAATAATGCAATGATGAAATGTTTTGGGAAATATGACGTTTTTCATTTCCGTCTGCTCTTGTTCTCTCTCTCTCTTTCTCTCCCTTTTTCTCTCTCTTTCTGCAGCTCGGTATTGGTATCGGTTGGTGCGGCGAGACATGCAAAGGGTATACAACGCAAAGTTCATCTACAGACCGACCGATTTTATTGCATGCATGTGCGATGCTCTATAGGATAACTCCGTGTGTGTGTGTGTGTGTGTGTATTTTGTTCCATACAATTCGCACTCAATTCATTGAATTCGATGCACTTTCGCTGCACGTGACCACATCGTGCTATTCTCACCATAAATCTTCATATCATAAATTTCAATGTCTCATAATAATTTGACTTCCACAAAAGATCAAATGGATTGTATTAAATCATTAATTTCCCATAACGATCAATTCTAATTGAATGAATGGAGAACTGGGCGCTAATGTGTGAGGATGCAAAACGTACAGCGGTTGACTAATTCATGAATGAATTCGTCTTTTTTTATTCACATTCTCTTTGAAACCGAACAACAACAACAGAAACAGCGCGGAATTTAATAAAAGCGCGCGCACACACACACAGAGTCTACTATGCTATAATGTTGTGGCGGACTGTGATTTCAGTAGGTTTGGTTTAGAGAGCCACCATAGCAGCAACAACAACACACATCGAGAGCAAAATCTATCCGAGAGAATGTGCTCGTACTCATTGAAGAAAATGCGGCGACAACAACAAGAACGAGAACGAGAACAATAATCATATCAAAAGCACTCCGAGCCATAATCACATTTCGTAGATGGCCTTATTAAATCTATCGCTCCCTTTCCGGCATACACTTTAATCGAACGACACACTCGAGTACGCGCACGCTCTAGCGCTACCGCTCTTTTGCCACTCGCCACACACTGCACAATGAAATATGCACAATGATGATTTGGTCTCGTTATCTTGTCCAGGGTTCAAGGTCAATTCACAATAAATACAAAACATGTGACATGTAAAATACAGGCATTAAGTGATATCATTATCATCGATGCTGTCAACATACCATGGAAACAATGTGCGTCTTTGATTCGTTGACGTTATTTTCCCCTAATGGCTTAGTTTTCGTTTCAATTCGAAAACGTAATACATATACGGCGAGAGTGATGCCGCGCTCGTTCACTTATGATACCGCGTACGGTATAGCGACAACAGTGGAAGCCAAGAGTAGCAGTGTACGGTGTCTCGCTCTTAAATGTAATCCTGAACTATAACGAACTTTTTCTACACGATGACCGAAGCAGTTCGGAGCGGTGATAGCCAGAAAGAGATGCAGTCAAGTGGTTGAACGATAGCGTGTGTTATCGTTCGTGTGTGATCGTGCGCGCTTGGGCTAAACTGAACTGTGTGCTTTCATACATGTGTGGCGTGTTTTTTTTTTCGTGTCTTTCAAACGTCGTTGTTTGCTCTCAGTTTCTCACTCTCTCTCGCGGCCAACCCGAGTACACAGCCTCACTCTCCGCGATCATCAAAACACAATTACACACATCGAGCATCGTAGACTTATCGTCTTCTTACTACCGTTTAGTAATGCTCAGCCGTTCAAGCCAATAATAACAAAAAAATACGGTAACAAACAAACAAATCGAGCAAACACGAAGCTGAACACGGTATGATGAATCCGCTAAAGTTCTATCTCTTCCGTACAAAAGCCAAATCGTAAGTACATTTCATTTTTTCATCACAACATTTCCATTCACTTGGAAATTTCCGAGCGAATTTTTTCATCGGTTTTGTTTTTGCTGATGTTTGGTTTGGCATCAATTGCATATTGCAATTTTTGATGTTGTTTCTACTCTCGTCGTTTGATGTCCAATTCCAAAGCATGAGTTTCGTTCACCGCACACGCTTGCCACTCTGGTCGTGTGCGTTTGCGGAAAAAGTCGGTGTGAATCGATGAAAATTTGTTTTTTTTTTCTCATGATTATTGTGTTTGTTTGGCAGGGCGACACAATGTCTGCGCTGGAGTAGCTGGCTACAAGTAATCGTCTGTGCAATGTGGTGCGTCAATTGGGGCCATGCAGCGAATATAACGTGTGAATTGTGCGAAAATGAAAACTATCAAATTGAAACCAATGCATGCTATGTGACCAAATTTGTGACACTTACCAAGGACGAGCCATTACATTTTACCGTAACGAGCACCAGCGTAACGAACATAACGTCCCTTCTATTCACACCGAATGGCCAATTACAGTCGAACATTACGGAAGTGCCACGGGAAATATTTCGCATATTTCCGCAACTACACAAATTGGAGATACGAGGCAATGTGCAAACGATCAACAGTGATGATTTCACGGATGCGAAAAATCTACGGCATTTAACATTGAACAATCAATTGGAGTGTATTCCGAGTCGAGTGTTTATGCATGCATTGAAACTATCGAGCATCACATTGTCACGAAATCGAATCAGTCGCATCGAAGACAATGCATTCGACGGTCTGTTTGTGTTGGAACAATTAACATTGTCGAAAAATGAACTGAAATCACTGAACCGTCTAATGTTTACCGGTCTCACGAAGCTCAACTATTTGAATTTACGCGATAATGATATTGACACCGTTGAAGATGGTACATTTGATTTACCAAATCTTAGTGAGCTAATATTATCGAAAAATCGCCTGAAAATTTTATCCGATCAAATTTTCAACGGTGCACCGATGTTGCAACGACTCACCATCGATAATAATGCACTCGAAACCATTGGTAAATCAATGTACAGTCTGGTGCATGCAAACCGAATTATCATGTACCAAAATAAAATTCGGGACATTGATATTATTGAATTTGCCAAATTGCCTGAGTTGAGTGCATTATGGTTACGTGACAGTGGTTTTACATTTGACAATCGTACGCTCGATCAATACCAACCGACCGAATCAAAAGTTAATTATTTGGATATTTCGTATAATCACCTCTCCGATCCGGGTGACCTGCAGCGTTTACAAATTTTCAAAGAGCTCAAAACATTGACACTCGACGACAACGAATACGTTGCATTGGATTTGGGAAATCGTACCGTACATCAAATATTTCCCGTCATGGAAACGCTCCATTTGTCGCGCAATAAGTGGAATTGCACTTGGCTTAAACCGGTTGTTGAACGCGCCATAAAGGATCACATACGAACCGTTCTAAATACAGCGGAATGCGAGTAATTTACTTTGATTGATTAGTTGCAGATGGGAGAAAAGAAGAAGTACATGACAAAACGAGAGAATCAGTAGGAAGAAAGAAATAATGCCGAGTGAATAATAAAACGAATTCTTCGGATTTTGTGTTCGTTTGTGGTTGTGTGTGTGTGTGTGTTTGTGTGTACGTACGTGTGTGTGTGTGTCTTTGTGTGTTTGTGTTATTTTTGTGCCCACGGAAGAATTTCGATGTGCATTTTTCGATTAAGAAATTAGTCTGTTTAATCTTATATATTGATGTCTCGATGATTTTTTTTTTCTATTCGTACTCTACCCACATATTACTGGTTATTTTTTATACTTACGCTTTAGGTTTAAGCAAGATAAGAGCTAAGAATTTTATACGTTTTCAGCTATAATTCTTTATTGTGTACAGTGTCAAACATTAGTCGATTAGTTGAATCAAAATTATTGATTTCAAGCATGCGTCTTTTTTTCCACATTATTTTCGTGTTTGGTTTTATTTCGGATCGGTTAAGTCTTAATGAATGTTTTTATGGCAAGTGAAACTATTGAAATAAAATTAAACAAATTACATTTTTCTCCACTAAATCGCAATGATTATTCCGTAAAATGAGAAAACGATTATTTGGACGAAAAAAAAAAATCTCATTTCGAGTTAAATTTATCTGGGTCGTCAGAATGAAAAGATTATCGTTGGCTTTCTAAAACTCGATTATAACAGATTAACACATGAATGATATTCTGGCCACAACGAAATTCGAGAAAATGACGAAAACTCTCGAAAAATAGGAGGCGATTACGTTAATCAACGGAAGAAACAGTTATCAATTATCAGTTCAATAAACTGTCTGCCTTTTCACAACCAATAGGCAAACATTCGAATGCTGTGCCACCCGAAAATAAACGTTTGCTAGCAGGGAAAGAAAAAAAATATCGAAATAAGTTGGGGCACTTATGAAAAATGTCGGGAAAAAATATCATTTAAAAGTAGCAGTTTAGCCTTGTGATCATGTTCATACACCCATGTAAACGAATCGCTTGTATTTAGAAATCAGAAAAAAAAATCTCGTAATAAAAAAATCAATACGATTAAGAACTTTTGTGTGTGTGTGAGAAAAAAAATTTAGTTTTTTTTATTGCTATTATGTTTGTGTTTTTTCTATTTAAACTCTTTTGCTATTAGATCATACTTCGCGAAATCAGTTATGAATCTGCGTATTAGACAAAGGTCATTTCAAGTGGTGATTCGTTTTTTTTTCTCTCTTTTGTCGCTTCCGAGTACGTGCAAAATTGAACGTTCAACGAGAATAATACTTTTATTTTTGGTACACATGGGATTCCCAGTGTTCGGTATCCAAAACAAGAAACCGTAACGGAAATTCATGTGAGCATCACTTCTTGAGACTTTTGCCATTAAACGCGAGTTGTTGGTGAACAACACAAAAATTTCGCTCCGTGTTTTGTTCACCGAAAAAATAAAACTGAAAATAGACGATATAAAACCGCACAAAAATGCCAAATCTGAATAAATTATAAGAAGAGAGTAACTGTTGAGTGATAATGCGAACGTTAGGAAACGGACGAATGAATGGAGGCGAAAACGCTCACCAAAGAAAGAGAAATAGCAAGAGTTTGGCTGATCTAAACCGAAAGCAGTGCCATGACGACTGCAATTCCAAGCAAAAAAAAAAACGATGACGACGACAACAACTACACAGCTGAATGATTATTATTACTGTTGTTGCTCTTTCATCGTCATTGTTCGCATACCATGAATTTTCACGCGGCGACTTTTCAACATACACGTTCGTTCGACGCTTTCTCTCGCTCTTCCCCGCCTCCGCCGTAATCGTTCGCTCACACTCGTGCCACCCGAAAATACACTCGACTGAATCTATGTTGTGTGAATAATCGAAATTTATGTTCGTTTGCGGGAAATAGTTTGCGAGCTGAACATTTTTGTTTTCATTTGGCATTTTATTCCTGTGCAATGCTCCCGCAACGACGAAATGGAGATCATGTGGCGTGTGTATGTGATACAATTATGTAAAACGTAAACTACATCTCTCTCTCTAGCTCTCGAACTCAGTCAGTCAGTCAGTGTGTGTGTTTGAAGGTTTAAATTTCGCAATTTTTGCTCGATTTTCGAAAAACACTCGTGCTCTGATCACGGCAGCCTGTGTATGCGTGGTGCGAGTGTAAAAAATAAGTAGCGCGCAAAATAATGTTTTGAGACTATAAACATTTGCGAGTGCGATAGAAGTCGTAATAATTTTTTTATTTCACAGGGTATTCATGCGATGATAGCAGAACACTATTTGTTGAGATTGCGCATCACATACGTGCATACGTACTTTTTCGATCTAGTCCGAGAATGCGATGATTGGTGCTCTTTAGGCGGTGGCTGTGTTCGTTTTTCATTGCGATTGAAGTATTACTTTGTGTGTGTACGTGTATGTGTCGGTTGTTGTGTTTTTCCCTTCTTCTGCGTGCGTTAAATTTGAATTGCAGAGGTTATTATTCATGGTGAAAGCATCATATTTGAAATTTTCCCGCTGCTTTTCTATTATCCGCCATTAATAGTGTTTACACTATTTTACACATCCGTTGTTACATTCATTTGGCTGTGTGAGAATCTCAGTCAGTAAATCCGCTTGTCCTATGTCAACACACCCGATTCTCTTGCTCTTGCTCTCCGCCTCTCATTCCAGCGATTTACTAGTCGAAAACGAAGCAAACATTTGCCATGCATCAAATGGCTTGCATTAAAAGTCTGCGGTTTTTCAAGTTTCTATCTTTTTCTGTGTCTCTTTCTGGACATTTTGCAAACACGGCTGTCTTTTTGCCTCTTTTTTCTTTTGTTCCTTTTTCCCTGGAATCGAATCGACCGTTGTTTTTTTGCATACAACGCACACGGTAAAACCCATTTCAGTTTAGCATACGTAAATATTTTTAGAACGAGAAGTGGTCAGAAGTTGTGAATGTGTCGAGATTTCTATTTTTTTTTCTCTGTAAAACTTATCTCTCGCTTGTCATCCATGGGGGATTCCACTGGTCGCTCGTTTTTCTGACGGTGAGACAACGGGGTCGAAGCAGCTATTAAACGTATCGTTTACACACACAAGATGAATAGAACGCATGTAAAATCATTGAGTAAATTAATTAACTTTACTCCGCACACACACATACACATATTCACGTTTTCTTTTTGCCTCTCGTTCTCTCCCAAAAGCCAATTCAACGTCGTCTGTGATTTATGTTTCCGCTGCAATGTACGAAAATGTTAATGATCCGCTCGAAAAAAAATGAGTCCAATATAGGCGAAAAGAAAATGGCACATCATATCAGTAATGCGAATTTGTTTTTTCCCTCTCACTCTCTGTTTCTCCTGCTTGTACGCTCGCTCGTCAATACACTACTTATCAATATTCGAATTTGTGCTGCAATTTACAAATGCTCAAGTGTGAATCGGTTTGGTCACGCGATTAGTCAATGCAATCAATCGCCTTCATATCGCCAAAAGGCACGAAAAATAAACCGTTAAGATAATTTGCCCCAATAAAAGTTCACAATAAAAATCAAATTATTTGACCTTTTCAATGCAGTTTGTTTTTGTGTGTGTGTGTGTGTGTCATTTTGTTTTTCACTCCGATTTGCATCGCTTCAACTTTGCTTTGCAAAGCTGATAAACGAAATGGAGCACAAGAACAAATAGCAAAATAAAATCAAGACAACCAAACAGCAAAATAGAGAAGGAAAAAAAACGCAGCAACCGAGAGAGACAGAGAGAGAGCAAGAATGACGGGGCTAGAGCAAGCGATAGAGACAGCGATTTGGTGTATAGCACAATTTACATTGACATCGAAACGCTATCGCGCTGCAGGCGTAAAAATGTTCGAGTATGTGGCACCAAACTGACTGGTGAACACTTTTTTCCACTTTTGCACCCGTATGCAAGACTCGTGAGAATGAAGCACAGTTATGACAATATTTTTCACGTTATTTCACCTCTCGTATCGCCAGCCAATGCACAGACCCACACAACCCTCTTTTTGTAACTATCTCGTCTCGCTTAAACCAATATTTGTATTTCCTTTTCGAATTTTGCGTGGATAAAAAAGACTGCATAAATAAATGCAAAAAAAAATCAAGTGAATTATCGTGTATTTGTCGCTCGTCGCATGCAAACACATGTTTTACTCTCCGCGTTCGCGTGCGCGCGGAGTTACCATTCGATTGAGAATGTTCAGCTTGAGATGAAACATGAGTGTGTGTTTGTGCTGTTGTGCGGCGCGCTCTGCATTGACACTCGGCCACAATAACCTCGCCAAATGTGATTTATACAGTTATCACAACTCTTGCGCGCCATCGCGTTCGACCAATTCACAATTACATGCACGTGCGCGTGTAATTTACATTCAGATTTTCAACATCCCTTTCTCTTCATTGACACGCAATCTGCTTCTCATTCTCTCTCTCTCTTTCTCCGTATTCTGCACTGTGCCCCGGATTATTATTGTCTAGTCGATTTGTTCAATCGGATGCACTGTTTTATTTGCATATATCTTGAACTGTGATCTCAAATCATTTGCCATACCTTAAATCTGTCATCGTATTACATAATCCACTGTGGGGATTATATGCGATTCGATATTTTGATCGTATGCTTTTTGGGTTTTCATGGCCAACAAGGCATGTAATAAAACCGATAGTTTTCAACCGAGGGAAAGAGAGAGAGAGAGACTGAGAGACTGCGAAGTTTTTCAGCTCAGCAGAGCCTCAAGCATGCAACCAGACAAATCGGACAAACAAAGTGCAACCGCTAAAAAGTCACATGTTTTAATTGCTCAGTGAGTTTTGTACATAGACCCCCTGCGGCCATATTATTAACAGCTCTGGTTAAAACTTTACATTCTTCTTCGTGTTCCTTCCTTTCTGCACTTTTGTGTAAAACTCACACAGTTTTTCTCTCTGCCTCTGTTCGAATAGTTGTTCGGTTGGTCGGTGTTGATGGTTGTGCTGCTACTACTGCTGTCGCTGCTTTTTTTCTCATGTTCGGTGTGCACTTTGTTGATTTTTTCACTCTCTCTCTCTCTCTCTCTCTCTCTCTCTCTCTCTTCTCTCTCTCTCTCTCTCTCTTCTCTCTCTCTCTCTCTCTCTCTCTCTCTCTCTCTCTCTCTCTCTCTCGTGTGGGCGAGCATTTATTTGAAACAGGCGCTTGCTGAAGCATTTTTTCCACTCCGATGGACTTTCTATTTTATGAAAATTATTTAAATTTTAATAATAGCATATGGATGTCATTTATTTTCGTTTGCAATTTTTCGCAACGCGCAACAGTGCACTCTTCTCAATGACATTACTGAGATTGTTTTATCTCTTTGCAAGCGTACGGATTGAAAAGTGTTGCTATTGCTGCTGCCATCTGTGTATCTGTCTCTCCTGCTCACTCTCGCATTTTTCAGTTATTCGATGTACGTTTTTTGATCCCTTCTCTCAAATTTTGCATTCATATTTTATTGCCTTTATCCACAATTCATTTTTACCGTTGCATTATGCTGTTTGTCTATCGCACAAACAACGCGTGCGACAGAGAGAACAAGGAGACTGTTTCATTCTTTGTGTAATACAAATCGAAACGATGGAAAAAAAAAATTTCGTTGAAAAACGCTTTTAGCACAAACATTTCACTTCGTTCAATGGAATATTTTTCCCATGCATTAGCATACAGATGGGCAATTACACGCCACAAATTCGAAAACAACGTTCGAAATAAAAACAAACACACCCGCACACACAGAGAGAGAGAGTGAGAAACAGATACACAACATAATGTCAATGGTGGTGACGGTGGCTGCGTTGTAACAACACTAACAGAAAAACTGTTGGGGCTTCGTCCTGTGTAAAATCGAAATGAAAAACAAAAACCGACATAAAATAATAACAAAACATTTTTTTTTCTGGTTCAAAATGGGCAAAACTGTTGGCTGAACTTTTGTGCATCGGGCTTGAAATGCACACTGCATATTTACTCGAAGCGAAGGGAGAGAGAGAGAGGTTGTGCCATGCACAAAAATCAGCTCACTGCACCTCCACACCACTCGAAAAAAAAGAAGAATCAACAAGAGTGTTGTACATATGTTGTTTCCGTGTGTGTGAAATATTATCATTGTAACAGAGATCATTTTAATGAATATTATCGTCATCAGGTTGATTTTTTCGAGCTACATAAATTTAAATGTGCATTTCATCGTGTTGCACATCCTTTTGCATACAATGCATTCGCTCCAAATGTGTGTGTATACTGTACAGTTGAAAAACAGCCGGGTTAACGTTCATTTCGATTATGTGACGTTTATGAGTGTCATTTTTTAATTATTGTTATTTGTTAATTACATGTGAGCGTTGCCATTGCTGTGTGAAATAACTCAAATAAAAGCAAACATTTCCTCGAGATGATTGCCATGAAACTTTGCCTCACTTTGCCTGCGAACCCAACCGAAGCCCCAAAAACAATACAACGACCAAATATCTGTCTGTCACACAAACAAATTGACGTTGAATTTTCCACTAATGTTTATGATGATTAAAAACACTTGTATCATGTCGCAATATTTTGAAGCGCCCATGGCATGAGCCAAACAAAACGAAGAAAAAAAAATGCCCACAAAATTTATGGTATAATCGTATAAAACAATTATTCGGAAACGGAAACGGCGCGGCGCACATACACACACACACATAAAATGCATGGGTCACGGTTTCGTTGGGTCGATGTTGATGAATTGATGCCGTATTGTCATTGAAATGGCACTGCATCGCCATTTAGGCCTTGATAAAAACGAAGGCGGCATGCATTTCAACCAGAGAGATATGTTTTTTGCAATCTTGAAAGGACAAAAAAATGAGAAAAACGGTGCACGCTCAAGCAAATGTAAATTCGCATTTAATTTCTTGAATTCCCCGCGAACAACACACATACAAGCGCTCCACTTGGGAATTATGCTTGAGCGAGATGGAGAACGAGATGGCATAAAAAATGGGTTAGCAGCAACGGTGACGACGGAAAAAACTTTGTCCTGTGCTAAATCTGTGCCAACAAAAATCCGTTGCCACTTCGAAGTTGTTTTTATTTGGCTTTTTAATTTAGTGTCGGTTTGTATATGCTTTTATAGTCGGCACTCACTCACAACTTTCGTACAACTGTATTCAAAATTGCGGATAAAGAGAACCAGAAACATACAAACAAATCCACCGAATACATAATTTAAATCATTTAACTCAATGTGAGCATGAAAATTTGAGAGTAGCCAAAAAGAAAGAAGAACGCCGTTTTCCGGCGTTTTGAATAAAAATGGAGCACTTCTTATTAGCATTATTTGTTGAGTTTACACCTTTGGCCCAGCTCAAATGCATATAACAATGAATCACGAAGCTAATAAAGGACAAACGAGTAGCACAACGACATTCTGAGATGGATAAAAATGATGCTGTCGCCTCTGTGCTCAGCCACAAAACAACAACGAATGTAATGCGAATATTGTTTGGGGGATGAAAGCCGAAAAAACGTTGTCAGACGATTGCATCGCTGTTTCGATGGCTCGTTTTTTTTTGGGCCGATCCTAATGTAGCTCTGCTGAGGGAAAAATCGCATTTGAAATGGTAAATGGTTTATTTGGAGAACGCAATGCGACTCTCTAGCTAATGAAATATAGCGTAAACGGAAATCATCTCAATACACATATTGTAAATATGTGTTGCTGTAATGCTATAAATCGTGTGCTGATAACTCCTTTTTTGCCCATGTCTCTCTCTCTCTCTCTCTCTCTCTCTCGATTTCCTCCACTTGTGCTCTCATTCTTGCATGCTACTCGTGCTCTCTGTTTTGTTCACCGCACTGCTGCCTGCCATTCCGATATGCCGGATTTCAAACGGCATTCGAATGCAATGAAGAGTAGAGAGACGTGTGTTTGTATATGTGTTTTATGTAACATCGGCCGCAACAGAGCACAAACTAGCAATCGGCAACTTTTCGATACGACCATTGAATTTGCTAAGTCACAAAAGAGCGATTCGATCGTTCTTTCTCGCTCTTGCTCGCGCGCCCATTCATTCTTCCCTCGATGTGTGTTTTCTGGGCGAATGTGGCTGCAGCGCTGAAACTCGCAATATTTATGTGAATTTGTTAATTTTTTGCTCGTTGTGGCCCCGTGTTCGCTTTCGCCATGTTCTCATCCTTTCGAAACACGGAGCAGCAAATCTGATAGTTAGCAAAGAGAAACGAATGCGAACGTTAGAGCGCGCTAGAGAGAGAGAGTGAGAGAGAGAGAGAGAGGAACACAAAAAAAGAAACAATTTGATTCGATTTAGTTCGACTGACAGTATGTTCCGTGTTTCAACGCGACACACGAAAAACGTCTCGCCGAAACGGCTCTTTTTTCCACACGACATCAATGCGACCAATTTCATTGTAATCGCTTTAGTTTTCCCATACCTTTTCACTTAATTTGCTGCTCATTCTTGACACACTCGCATTCCCTTTTTTTCTTCCTCATATGGCCTTTCTCCACTGAGACCGAGTGAGTG